TTTATATATATAATATTGATATACATGTATAATAAAAAATATAGTTATTATTTTAAAGATCTTTTACTCTGCTTTGGACCAAACCACATTGAGCAGTAGGCCCAGATAAAGTTCAACTCAACTGCACAAGGTGTTCTTTTCAGTACAGATCAGTTGTCTGTATGAAGATATAGATATAGATATGAATCTTAAATGACATTACGTTAAATAAATGTCTTACAACGTGTCTGTCATTTTAAAAGTAGGGCATTTAAATACTCAAATGTAAATTCACACAACAAAAAGCAATTCAAGTTCGCAATAATATGACGTAGACGATAGACGTCATTATACTATTAATTTCCGCATCAATTTTGGATATTTTTCAGTGTTTCTATGATGAGTCACATGTTTACAGATCAGAGTAATGTCGCCATCTACTGGCTGACAGAAGCAACAACACTTTAAAAAGCAGACATGCAACAGGATCAATGCATCCAAACATTCAGGCTCAATGTAGCCTTAATGTAGAACAAGTTTCTCTCTATCAGCAGTAAACAATAAAGAGAGCAAATCTAATAACCAACACCAGACCACTATAAAAATGTACAACATCCATTTAAACAAATGTCTCCAAACTCATCATTCTTGAGTTTCTGTATTCAGAGAGTTTGAATGGTGGAGTTGGTGAGAGGTTAGTTTCATAGAGGCTTTAAACATCCTGCATCATCATGACTGAATTATAACTGAGTAAGTTTTAAAAAGCATACAGTAACAACAAAGTAGATGGTAGTCTCTGATCATTTTAAAAAGCCTAAATTGAAAGACCATTACAATCTGCGATCTGTATTTTTCCTCTACTCCCTACGTATCATTTCCTTCTGATATAAAGGTGCGTGTACTGTGGAATCTGATCTGTGCTTGCTGACTTGCTTTATTTAGATGTGAGCCACCATCTGTCCCCCTGCATGCCAGAAGAGGTCCTGTGCAGACCGTGTCCCTGCTGATATCAGAGCACTGCTCCGCGTCACCACAGTGCCTCCTTTAATCTGCCACAGTGTGACCAAAAAGTGCCTCAGTCGGCAAAAAGCTGTGAATGAGGTGTTTTTTGTATTGTAAATGCATAAAACACTTCAGTTTTGGAGACAAACGTTCCTTCATTCTCTATATTTTTTACAATGTAATGATAAAAACTAGTCATGTGTTCACTTTCCATAAATTCCTCCATGTATTCTCATTAATCCTGCTGTCTCTTATGTATCCTTTTCAATTTGAATTTAAATTGTAATTCTTAACATATTTCATTTCTTATTGCATATATGACACACACATACATATATATAAAACATATTTATCATTATTTGGCTGCAAAGCTTACATTTTCCTACAGAATTTATTTTGCCATCCATCATTTTCTAAAACTAATTTGTCTAAATTCGAAGCTATATATATATACAGTATATAACATCAGTTATTGTTTCCCCACCACTCACCCTCTGGTGCTTCCTCCCCATCCTCCTCATCCTCCTTGTCGTCCTTCTCGTCCTCCTCGTCCTCCTCATCCTCCTCCTCCTCGTCTTCCTCATCCTCCTCGTCCTCCTCCTCCTACACCAGCCTCGGCCTGTCCTGCGGGTCAGAGGATGGAGGATGGAGGCTCCAGATGGTCGAGTACCAGCAGCAGAAGGGGGACCCTCAGGGGGGGCGGAGGGGGCACGAAGGCCTGACAGCAGGGAGCCATGTGACCTGGGCCAGACAGCTCTTTAGCACAAAATTAGCCCGGGATGAACGCGTAACACAATGACATGCTGATAATTACCATCAAAGAGCTATTCGGGCGTCTGTTCGTGAGCTTAACTCACCTCATTTGTTCAAATTCACAGGCCCTTCTGGCAATAACATCTCCCAGAAGTCAAGCTGCTTGACCTTTTGTCCCCCCCCACACTTACATAAAGTCATAAAGCACAAGTTATTACAGACGGGTCAGCTTCAAACAATCACATAATATCTGAGAGGATATAATTATATGACTTCTGTATTTCTAGCAGTATGACACCAAAATGGCGGCAGTATATTTTAGCGTCTCAGACCACGCAGGAGGCTGCAGGGCATTTCAAATGTACCTAATCAGTGTTTAATATAATTAAATATAATTAGTTTGAATTCTCTATGATGTGTTCTCATCCAACCTGCATCTGAGAACTGTTGCTGTCTGATACAGTGTTTAACTATCAGCGTTTTCAGATAGATTACTAGTTGTATTTGAGGAAAATAATAATAATATCATTAGTAATAATGATGATGACAATAATAATGATCATAAATATTACAAGATTAAATACACACTGAATATCTAATTTATAATTAAATTGACTATTAAGTGGTTCTAATTTAAATACGTTTGTCTTTAAAAGAGAAGGTTTCACCAAAAGAGGTTTGGAAATAATAACTAAGAAGTTTAAATCCTGGTGAAAGCAGTGACTGTCCGCTGAGCACCACAAGAGGTCACTACTGAATCAAATATGTCAGACACAAACTCACATCATCTGACAGGTAGATATCAACATGTACAATATGTTGTATGCAGCTGAGATTTCAGTTGAAAGCTCTGGAAAAAAGACTTTTTTAATTTTCATATTATAATTTAGTTTTAAATTGATGACCAAGCAACTTTAAAAAAAGTTTTTTATAGCATAAATGAATTATTTTGTATTTGATGAAGTAGATTTCTTCTCTATTGTTCTTTGGAGTGAACAATGTAATAAATTGTGTCTCCAAGGACCTTGAGTTATACAAAAGTCTCCCTGGACACTCCCTTCACCTTTGACCTCTCTACTTCACTCTGTTTACAGCGTAAAAGAAGAAAAGTGAAGCCCATTCTGCTGCTGTGCCAGAACATCCACTGAATGCCTCACATGTAGAGTCTATTGTGGTGCTACAACAGTCCTCCGTCACTTAAAATAGCCAACTCCACTTTGAACGAGTGCTCATATTCTCCTAAACTGAGTCTGTTTAATGCGTTGTGACAGCTGCTGAGGCCGTGGTCGGTGGTCTGTGAGAGCTCCAGCTGTGTGCAAGAGTTAAAATAGTCCCACACAGCTGCACGCTGGCATTAGATGGAGGAGCGGCCCCCTTTCAACCAGCACACACGCTTTCCACATACTTTAAATGCAGTGGTTATCCTCTCTTTATGTGTTCTCAAACCTTGTGTCAAAGCCCTTTTTTAAATGAAAGTTTTAACAATTATGATATATGATCTACTGGCTCAGGAGGATTAGTCTTAGACGTGTTCAGTGGTACAAGTCCATCCATGTGGTCCGGGTCCAGGTCCAGGTCAGGACGGGGTTTGGGCCTGGGTGGAACGATGTAGGAAAGCAGCAGGTGCACAAGAAGACCTGTGGCTTTTTAACCAATGATGATGTATCATTAAGTGCAGTAGTACAATATATATAGGCTTACTATATATACGTTGAAAGTTTGTCCCATTAACAATCCTAATCCTAATTCTAACTTTAAACATAAACTCAAACCCAAACAAAGTGGAAGAAAAGATGAAAAATAACACTCTAGAGGAGTTTACTTATCTTTATATTCTAGTGAGGGCACATCTAAAAGCTGCAGTAATTATAATCTGCATTGTTTTCAGTCACTTTATTGATTTTAATATCTTTTTATTTTAACCACTGCTGACCGTTGCCTCCCTGCGCGCCAAAACATTACCCGTCGTGACCACAGCGGGGGGCCACACTGCAACTGTGGCCCTCCCTGCTCCTCTGCTGCCTTCACGTACCGCTCGTAAACTCGACTATCAAATGTTAGAAGTCCCAAATGCAGGATTCTGAAGTATTTATAGGAACTTGCTCACAACCATGTAAGAAGAAAAGTAGGCACAGGACAGAGCTGAAGGCTGGAGGCTACTTAATGCTGCAGCAACAGCTGTCACGTAGCTGAATGGATGTGTTCACTAATTTATATCCAGGCTGCATAATAGTAATAATAATAATACATTTTATTTGTATAGCACTTTAAAAGGTACTCAAAAACACTTAACATGGTGAAAACAGAAACAGTAAAACATTATAAATAAAGCAAATAAATGCCATTATAACAGTAAAAATTATTGCAGTCATGTGCTTCAACTCTTGTTGCAGCCATTCTCTCTTTAGCGGATGTTTCCCATAAATGCAGGCTACACAGACTGAGACAAAAAGTTATTTGATACAAGCGTTAATAATTTACAGATTACCAGTAATAAAATGTCGGCTCATAACACTGGCTGGTCCCTAAATGCCACATCTCTGCTGATAAAGCACTATTCCTATTTTGCATTTTTATATCCCAGATATTAATAAGGCACACTCCGTCGTCAGTAGGTTATAAAGTTTTCTCAGAGAGTTTCAACTCAACAAACATTGCAAAAAATGCAAAAGTGTGATTCATTTTGTCCCAAATCTGCATGACAAAAGTTCAGGTAAATAGAAGAGTGGTTGATGACCATGAAGCTACTTTTTTTCATTTTAATTTGATCCCGACCTGGGGACTGAATTGATTTCATTTAAAACAACTCTACCATGTTACCTTGTCATTTGCAAGTGCCCTCATCATTTATTTAAAGAAATAACAAAATGTAAAGCGTACCATCATGTGTACCATCATTCATATATATATATATATATATATATATATGATGTTTCTAATATCATATATTCTAAAGGAAACATCCCCTAGAATAAAAGAGAGAACAGCTGCAGCAAGTGTTGTGTTAAGAGTTGAATCACATGACTGCAGAACATGCATTTCTTACCGTTATAATGGCATTTATTTGCTTTGTTTATATTGTTTTACTATACAAATAGAATGTATTGTTATATATAGTATTGCTTTCTCCTCGTCATACTGACAGTTTGCTCATATTTGAATTTAGGACTCTTCTTGCTCTTTGCCACTCACGTTGGAGGTTGAAAACCAACGTTCCTAAATACACCTGAACGCACCATATGACCGAGCATGAGCTCAGCACAGAGGGAGAGAGACAGGATCGGGATCGGGATCGAGATAGAGGGAAGAAGGGAGAGAAAGAGAGAGAGAAGCTAAACAGGTGGTCTGAAAACACACAGAAAACAATGTCGTCCGGCGGGGAGAAGCGGAAAGACCTTTAGTCCTCTCTTTTTATCAAGGAATACCGGGACAGCCGCGGGAAGCCGAACAAACGGGAAAACCCATGCTCCTTTTTTATTTTCGCACGGATTTCTCCTCCTCCTCCTCGTCTCGGTTTGTACTCCGAATCTGGGCAGGATCTCGGACACCGAAAGCATGAAAGTCACGGTGTGTTTCGGCAGGACCCGGGTGGTGGTGCCGTGCGGGGATGGAAACATTAAAGTGCTCACACTCATCCAGCAGGCTGCCATGAGATACAAGAAGGCTATCGCCAAGGTGAGTGGCGGCTACTTTTTTTGTTGTTTTTTTGTTGCGGCTTTTGTGTTCCTGGAAACAATGTTGCAACGTCCCCTCCGGTGTGGGTTCCTGCGAGTGCGCACTCAATATGGCGCTAACTTGGAATTAAACGCAAAGCAGAGGGAACGGAGTGGGTGCCCGTTTTTCTGATGCCTCTAGGCTCGCGTTGCACAGTTAGTTCAGCTCGCGAGCACACACATTGTGCGTGCGCGTGCTATTCGCAGTGTGTCACTGCTTTTTTCTGGGGTTCTTTTTTCAAAGAAAGGCGCACCGCCATTGTGGCAAAACTCCCCCTGGGATTCGAACCGTGGCACCGAGCGGAGTAGTCCGCGGGTTTGTTGCACCGTAGAAGCATAATTGTGCACAAAGAAACGGTTAACGACTTGGCAACCCATCGGTTGGAAGACCTCGGTTCATGCCTGTGGAAGTTGTCAGTAGAGATTAGCCTACTAGCAAGTTAGCCAGCAGGCTGCAAAAGTGGGTCTGAGGCGTTCAGGCTCCGGTGCAGAGGGGGGAAAGTCCTATCACCTCAGTCTATACACTCTTGTTTTATAGTGTCTCTGAACGACAAAAACACCAAAAAGGGCCCTCTTTGTTCGACTTGTAATGAGCTCACTGTGATGGCAGAGAGGGTTAGCTGGAGTGTGCGGACGCATGATGAGAGTTCAGGTTCAGCAATGATGCTTCAAATGCAAGAAGAGGAGGAGGAAGAGCAACAGCACAGGAAAAAAAAAAAGTTCTGTTGCATTATAGTTTTGAGTTTTCAGAGAAGAAGCTGCATACAGGCTGCCATGGCTGTCCCAGCAGGCACCAGGCCCTGCAGGACAGGGAGGGAAACTGCAGTGCCGAGCTCCAGCTGACTGGTGGAGGAGGCTCAGACCTGAGCATAAATCTGTGGAGATAAAAGTCAGACTTAAGAAAACTCGTAGCTCGATGTCTGGTAGCAGCAGATAACCCTTGAACCCAGCTGCGTGCTGCACGTGTAAGGTCCTCTGGATGAGACTGGGAGCACAGCAGCATGAGGAACAACCTAATATCTCTTAATTACCTCTAAAATTATGTTAATTCAACGTAACTGGCAAATATTCGCTCAAATTCATTCAAAAATAAAGTATTTATAATAATGTGACTCCACTGTAATCTTAAAGTTTACATAATTCATCTTTTGGGTGTTTGATTTGTTTAAGGAACAAATATGTGAAGGCAGGAAGTCGAGATGGATAAATAATTGAACTCTTTTCCTGTTCACGCTCTAACTTTGCAGCAGTCTCTTTCTGTTGTAGTGCTAGTGACCTAGAAGTCGTCCCGTATCCTCGCCTCCTTGTCAATAATTCAGCGTGAGCAGACAGAGGAGCGCAGGAGAATATATCTCGGTGTAGTGGAGAGGCAGGTGAAGAGCTGCTGGAGGAGATACCAACTCTTTGACCTCGTGCAAAATAGGGTTTTACTTAACTTTTGTTTGTCCTCAAGATATTTAGAAAACAAGTGTTGCTTTCTGAGAAAGCTCAAGTGATTCCATTTGGCAGAATTAAATGTGGCAATGTGATATCTCAATATACTCTTTATTTTTGGACCCAGTTCTTCACACTGGTTGAAGTCAGTGTGTCATGATGCTAGAAGCTCTGGTGGTATCTGAGGGTGGATCGTACCTCTGTGCTGGAAACGAGGCCACACATTCAGTTCTCATTCTGTCTTCTTCAGGCTTTGATCTAAAACACTAAAAACAGAAATGCAAAAAACTCAGAGCTCCTCATGAACTTCTCACCCACAACAAAACACGCTGCCTCAAAAACAAACAACACCCATGTCATTTAATCGCCTCATATCTGTGTTTATTGCCCGAGACCCACCTATCAAGCTTTTTTTCCGGTCATCCCGCCACAATAAGAGGCCTGAATGTAAGATTGTTTCCCTGCTTTAGTGTTTGTGCGTGTAGCTTCCCCTGTCATTAGGGAGGAATGCTTCCTGCAGAAAGAGAAACCGTCCACTTCTAAAGGGCTCGATCCGTCTCATAGCTGTGGAATCAGGCAGATGATGACACTGGGATGAGTGTTCAGACAGTTTGAGTTTTTCTTTGTCACTTTAAAGTCTCTGAAAGTCTTGAGAAGTAAAACTCCACTGCTCTTTCTGTTCCTCCCACAGATCACAGGGTAGGTTCTCGCCCATTTGACTAAGCATGGCAAGCCTTTTAAAATGACACCCTTTGAATGGAAAACCGTCTGGCGGCTTAACGCTGTAAACCCACAAGTGACATAAGCATTGGCAGGCCAGAAGAACCATGAGAGTTTGTCTCTGTTCTGACTGTTGCTAACGCTCAGAAACCCTCCAGGAGGATATCAGGTGTCTGGATCGCTGCGTCCACACCAGCACATCACCGCAGGTTTCCATTCTCAGCTTCGCAGCGCTGGAGTTTTCCTCCGGAGCAGTCTGGGCTATAGTGTCCGTGTTTGACCGTCGAGGCGGACGGATTTAACGAGACTTTGACCCGTCGCACATGATAGGATTAGGTGTCTGCTGCTGGTCTGGTTCAGGAAGTGGTTTTCTTTGGAAACGCGTACTTTCGGGGTGAAAAAAGGGGTGACGTTGTGCTTAAGATTTGATGCATCTTATAGTCATGCCAGGCATCAATGCTAATAGAGCTGCAACGATTCATCAAGAAGTTGTCGACTTATAAACTAATAGACAACTATTTAGATAATGGCTTATTTTTTTTGAGTCATTTTTTAAGACAAAAAGTCTCTGATTCCAGCTTCTTGAATGTGAATATTTCTGGTTTCCTTCGTCCTCTGACAGTAAACTGAATATATTTTAGGTGTGGACACAAACAGACATTTGAGGACCTCATCCTGAGCTCACTGTCATTTTTCAAAGTTTTCGGACTTTTTATAGATCATCAACTAATCAATAATTGGGGAAATAATCAACAGATTAATCTTCAATGAAAATAAACGTTGGTTGCTGTAAAGTCAAACTTCAGGTGTCCACTGATGTTGAAATGAGACGATGAGATGCTCTCTACAAGAAGAACGTTTGAATAGTTCCACTTTGATTAATCTGTGTTTTTACTTTGGAAACCAGAGGAGAGTGATTGTTTCAGTTAGTTTAGTCATTGACAAAGTATTCCACAAAAAACAGTTCAGTGTGTTAATGAAATGTGGTTAAACTCAATGTTGGATGTGAAGAGAAAGTCAAACAAAAAAACCCAACCAGCTGTAATATGATTTGAGCTCATCAATCAGTGCAGTCGTTGATGACTCCAATCTGTCAGCCTGTTTTTAATCTAGTCCTGATGTCCTGTTATGACTGTTATTAATTAGTGTGCTGCAGCCTTTGATGGGGGGGGGGGGACTGCTGCCGTTACAGTCATACAGATTAACATGTTCACCACCAGAAATGTGCCACATCTTCAAAAGGAAAAGCTCCCACTTTTCATTTTGGCCCCATTTTGTTCAAAAGAGCGACATAATTGCAGCATGAAAGGGACATTAAGCTCAATCTGATAATGAGGAAGGATCATAGCGTCACATGACCAAGACTGTATGTAGGGTCAGGGCCGAAGGGTGGCGAGCGGTAACGCTGATGGATGTATGAAAATGTATAATTTATTAACGTATAAAACATACGAATGCTCTGTTCAAAGACACCAGACTCCAGTCAGAAAACAGTGATTTTTACCTCGTTGGTCGTCGTAAAACACACTTCATTCAAACTGGGCAGAAACTACCACAGTTGCCAAGACACGAAATTGGTGGCCATTTTGACGGACAGAACTATTTACAGGTGCTCGAACCCTTGAGCAATACTGCACTTGAATGCAACAATTTTTACCTGGCGCAAAATAAATAAAGATAAAGCTTCCTTTGAGGTCGCAGGTTATTCAGTTCATACAGTGAAGGATTCCGAAGCAATTACCTGGTTTCACAGAGTTGTTCTATTATGTCATCTAAATGACTGGAGTGCATGCATACCAGGCTTATTTTATTCCAACTCAGGAATTTAGAGAATTTCATTAATTTTTAATTATCTACCCAAGTTTCGGTGAGGACAAATGATCCGTGTGAAATGAAGATGAACGGTTAGTTCTGTTCAGTTAGTTGTTTCCGTCATGATCGGAGCCAAAGACCCTTCGGTTGTGACCCTGCTGGTGGAGGTGCAGTAGATCTACCTCATGTCGGGTCGTGAGCTCCAATCACGTTACAGTTCATCTGTTTGATGTCACCATGCTGTACCAGCCGTGGGGGGGGGGTTCGGGGTTCCTGCTTCCAAATCGGGCACAGTGTGGGATTAAAAGCTCCACTGATGATCCCCGGGCCGCTGACTTTGCCCTTGACCAAACCACTGTGAAAAATGTCCTAAAACATGACCTGGCACAGCTTTTCATTTCCTAAAGGAATCCGTTAAAAGAGAGGCGGACCGGAACGAACCGAAGCCAGTCGGCCACGTGAGGCTTCCTGTGTGGAATTGTAGGAAAATGCGAGGGCACAATGGCTCCATAAAGGCTTTAAAACACCTCTAAAACCTCTTTATCTTGAGAAGTGAGCACCAGGAAAGATGAGTCAGCAGCAGCTTTACCATCTTTTCTCTCTAGGACATGACACGCTTGTTGTTTTCTTCTTCTTATTACCATTATGATGATGTTGGCATATCTGCGTTTCCCACAGTTCTTTGCTGCGCTGTGCATTTTTCACGAGTGATACTTTTCGTTGTTGTTCCAACTCATCAGCACCGCTTCACCGTCGTCCTCCTCACAGGCGTTACACGTCATGATGTTGACGTGATAATAGAAAGACGCCACTTTTGCCATTTGCCAACTTCCACTGTAGAAGCTGTGCTCATGCTGTTATTCAGAACTGTTGACGTAAGAGGAATAATGACCTTCCCTTAAATTGTCACTAATGGAAGAAACCTGTGTTAAGTGCAAAGACCAAAGCATCGGCACCCTGCAGGAGATTAAAGAATATATCTGCAACCGTATATTG